AGCCGAGGCCGGCGGCCCCGACGACGAGAAGGCGCATCGTATGGCGGGCAGCCATGGTGTCTAAGATTCTACCTAGCCGCGGCGCAGGGAAGAACCGAAGGGGGAGAGAACAGCGAAGGGGGGCGTAGGGAAGCGTCACGGGAGGACACGACTAGGGCGGAGGCGTACGCGAGCACGGCGACGAAGAGTTCTAAAGAGGGCACGACGACGTAGGGCGGCTAAGATTCTACCATTTGTTGAACTGAAACGCCGCGCAGATATTCGCATTCACTACCGGTCGCCCCAGATGGCATGTCGGGAGAGCATGGGCAGCCTCTCGGGCTTCCGGCCCCTGTAAGACGCTCGTTGTTGGCCGTGCTCGTCGTCGCCGTCGCCGTCGCGTCGGATGCCTGCGACGCCAGCGTGGGCGACGCCGCGGCGCTCGCCGCGGCGGTGAAGCGCGCCGGTTCGGACGCCTGCGTGGGGCGGACGAGCACCGTGGCCGTGACGGCGGACATCGCGCTCGCGGCCCCGGTCCACGTCTGGGCCAACGCGTCCGTGTCGCTGGTCGGCCCGCGCGCGATCTCCGGCGCCGGCGACCACGGCCTCTTCGTGACCCGCGGCCGCCTCGCGCTGTCGGGGCTGCGGCTCGCGGACGGCGCCGCGGCGTCCGGGGGCTGCGTCTTCGTCGGGGCCGGGGGCTCGCTCGCCGCGTCCAACGCGTCGTTCGTACGCTGCGCGGCGGCGAACTACGGCGGCGCCATCTACGCGAGCGGGGCCGAGGTGGCGCTGCGGAACGTGTCCTTCGCGCGGACGTCCGCCGCGTACGTCGGCGGCGCCGTCAGCGCGACGACGCGCAGCTCCGTGCGCGTCGTCGACTGCACCTTCGAGGCCACGACCGTGACGCGCGCCGCGGCGGGCGGCGGCGCGCTGGCGCTCATGATGAGCGAGGCGACGATCGTCGCCAGCGCGTTCCTCGGGACGCGGAGCGCGGCCGCCGGCGGCGCCCTCTACGTCGAGGACGAATCGAACTGCAGCGTCTCGCGCTCGCTCTTCCGAGCGACGAGCGCGGCGAGCTCGGGCGGCGCCGTCGCGCTCGTCGGCGGCGGT